GTACACCGTATACAAATGATGGAAAATTATCTGCTTTACAGAACAGTTAACCCGGGTTAAATATATATAAATATCCCGACTCATCTAGAGTCACAGTTTGCTTGAAATTCCATGTTATAAACACTCGAAACCCATCTAGAATCACAGTTTGCCTTAAATTTCATGTTATAAACACGGCGTACAAGTGAGCGGTGTACAAGTGAGCGGTGTACAAGTGAGCGGTGTACAAGTGAGCGGTGTACAAGTGAGCGGTGTACAAGTGAGCGGTGTACAAGTGAGCGGTGTACAAGTGAGCGGTGTACAAGTGAGCGGTGTACAAGTGAGCGGTGTACATCTGAGCGGTGTACATCTGAGCGGTGTACAAGTGAGCGGTGTACAACTTTTGTGTGTAGAAATGAACGGTGTACAACTTTTGTGTGTAGAAATGAACGGTGTACATTTTTGCGCGTCTAATTGCACCGTGTCGAAAATTTATTTTCTATGTGTCCAAAAATCAGTGTCTAAAATTTCTGTGTCTAAATGAACCGTGTCCAATTGAACCGTGTACACCAAAATGTGTACATTCGAATCGTGTCTATTTGCAGCGTGTCCAATTGTACTGTGTCCAAGTGAAGGCCACTCGTTTCAACAACATTTCTTCTATTAAACATGTATATCATATGTACACAATTGCATCATTTATATGTGAATAAACATATATTTGTGATAAAAGAAAATAGACTTATTACTATCCTATAATGTACAATACAATAATGTACAATAGTACTATGAATATTATAAAGGTATTCGGTAATGTCCCCATGGCAGCGTTTCTGTAGAATCGGGCACGATGTATCGTTTGTCGTCGTACGGACTCAGAGCGATTTTCGTCTCGGCTATAGTGTACACCTCATGCAGTTTCGATCTTATACAAGTTTATCGACGAGTCATTTCTATCTCGTCTCGCAGACAATGCGTGTAATCGTCAAAAGTTATTGTTCGCGCTACCACGTTGCTTTTAACCCCCTTCGCCTTTTCGTGTCGCTTTTACCGACTACTCTCAAAGCATACATCTTCGCTCTGAGTCCGACGAATTCGGTCATAATTGCTCCATTATTCTCATCTTTCATGAGAACGAGGACTTTCTTATTCGCATGCGGTATACCGTACGCGTTGTCATCTGGATAATCGCTTGTATCAAATCTGCGAATATCGCGTTTCATCGTCTCGTATACATCCTCGCACTCGACGTGGTATACGAGACTGTCCGTGTCGGTATACATAATTTTACAATGCTCGCGATACATCGGTAACACATAATCGTGATGAAATTCATACAAGCAGATCTTGGATATGTCGAGGATGCACATACCCACGTAGATCGGCTTGTTGAATTTCACTTCGAGTTTTCGCAACTCCACGGCGATTAAATTTTCTGAAAAAATGCTGCGACTATGAAAATTCGGTTTCGAGATCATCGCCTCCGCACCATGGCGACCATCCCACTTTGTTATAAGTTTAACGTCGACATGACTCCGCACATTTTCCATTGTTTTACCGAATACCGCGTTGTTCATTAATTTGTATAAATTTTTTTCAAAATCGTTTTTGGCTAACGTTCTAAATTGTGTGTTGAGTTCAATATACTATTTGCGTAGCCATGGAGATTGCGAGAACTCCAATATGCGATGTATTTTTGTCACGCGAAGCCCATGACGCGTGCACTGTTGCAGGTTGCAGTAGTGTATGACGTAACGCTTCTTATCATACACACTCGCAAGTAGCTTTTCCTGTCGCTTGCCTGGCGGCTTATCGCGCGTCGGACAGAACGGTAGGTCAGTGTGCTCGTCGTGTATACTTTGTGGGTATTCGAGATCAACCTCGAGAATGTAACCTATCGATGAGTCCACAGCGACCGCATTTACATTAAAATCAGTAACGTTAGTGACCCATCGAAAATTTGCATATGGTTGACACATCGCCCACCCGTACAAATTATTGACATCAAAGCACATCAAGTATGAGGAAGCTTTCGATGGATCGTAAGACTGCATGTACTTGTTATTGGCTCGAGCATATCTACCGGAACATTGGCTGAGACCACCGCGTATGCCGCGTTCCACAAACATGACCATATCAATGTCCGTGAGCAGCTCGAAATTTACGCGCGTGTGTTTCAGCATGGCGTCCCACGTGAATCCTGGTAATGTATAATAATACGCGGGATCTAATCCGTAACTGTTGATGCTATTATCGCGAAAATTTTGAAAAATGTCGGCCAATAACAAGACATCGGTTTTCAAATATAAATCGCTGTAGTCGCCTAGGGTTTGGATGGAGAATCGTTTCCAAACATTCAAAGCATGCATGTAATCGCTCTCTGATACAGTGTCACCGATCAGAGAATTGAAAAATAACTCGTGCAGAGGTAGACGCGGATCCTGCAGCTTGTTCGCGCAATCCACATATTCATATGGAAACACACCTTTACGCGTCAATAGATCGAAATCGTCGCTGGATAATTTTGAAAATTCAGATCGTACAATTTTTAATTGGTCTCTATGGAGAAACGATGCCAATCTATCGAGGCTAGTACACAGAAATTTGTATGAGTCAATAAATCGCAGCTTTATACAATTTTGTCGCTTTGAGTTTTCTATGATATTTTTTACATTTTTGTAAAGGAAATGTATGTTTCCTTCGTTATCGGTAATACATCAACTGTACCCTCGAACGCTGTAGCGATTTCTTTAATTATGAAATGTGCGTCATAGCCGGATAAATTATGAAAAACGATTGGAATGAAATACGCATCTTTGTAATTTAAGTTACAATTAGAATGCGCGGGGCCTCTATATCGTCCAGTTAGATGACAATCGTCGCGTACTCTATCGTCACCCTGTGCGAATGGTTTCTCGCATACCGATACCAAAGCATACCAGCATGTGACAGTGCGTGGCGCTACGGTATGCCCCCCACTGTTTTTTTAGAAAGTATTTGCATGGGAACATTACTTGACAGAATATTCTGTACACGATATGCTAATTCTTCTAGTTGGTCAGCAAACCACGCGACGCAATAAATGTCGCGGCGAAAACGGTACGTTGACAGCGAGTCGTCGTACGAGCGGTGGACGTAGTACGCGATGCTAAATACCTGGTGATGCTGGTATGCTTTGGTATCGGTATCCGTCTTTTTCAAGATGCACTCAAGGTCTGCGTACACTACAAACGGCACGCGTTCCTTCCTGCTGTGGTTGTTGAAGCTGAGCCACTTGTCCTTTTCGCTGGGTAATACGATCGCGCAGTTATTTACATATCTGTTGACAGTCTACGCTGTGGGCTTCCAACTTTCCATTTGAATGGAAATAATGCATGCATCTGGAAACAATATTTGAAAAAAACATTTATATATATATATATTTTATAAAATAAAACAATTCTTTCATAACTTTTATTGATACTCACCGATCGCAAATGTATTTTTTCCCATGGCAACCACTCAATTGTGAACTGACGAGGCGGGACAAGTTTTTTATCCAGACGAAGTGGCCCACTTCAACACCCCCCTGATCTTGCAGGTATAATAGGTTCACGTGCTTCTCCTTCTTCTCGTCAGCAACTAGTAACGGTACGATTGCGTGTTCACAATTGTTCTTTTCATCGATGGTGTACACATTGATGGAAATACTGTTCAACCGTTCAAACTTTTTAGTACCACTTAATGTCATCGGCATTGGAACGTCTCGCAGGTTTAACACATCGCTGTAATGCGGATACGACGATTTACGATCCACGTGTATTTCAGCTGGATGCAGAGCAGCGACCACCGACCACGCGAAACACGCATTGTCCTTTGATCGTACATTGATCACTGCTTTCTTCCGTTTCACCACTTCTGGCATGTCTGTATGGCATCCCGCGCGCATAGGATTGCACTTGTTCACGTTAATAGTTACATTGTGTATACGCGACAGCGCCCACCCGCTATCACGCTCCTGAAACTCTTCGAGTTCGGTTAGAATCGGACCGATTACGCGCGACTCGTACCACTCGCGCAAATCTGTTGTATGGAACAGTTCATAGTTTTTTGTATTTATGCTTTTATCCGCACGTTTATCACCCGCCACAAACTCCCCGTTGAACGCGGTATTCACCTTTACACAATTATAGCGTTCGATAGCGTCTCGCACGTGCTCGACCACTACATCGCGAGCGTCCTCGAGAAATTTGCGCGGCTCGATGTACTCCACGTTAATTACCGCTCGGGTAAGCACGCGACTATCAAACGCGGTGTCGATCTCGCGCCACGACAGTTGCGCTCTCGAAGAAGGCCCTGCACCAGCACCACCACCGAAATGTACGAATCGCCTTTCAACTCGGCACTTGACACACTCGAGTCGCGCGATTCGAGCCACCAGCGATTGTCTGTTACCGATGGACAGCCTCGGACGCTTGACACGGCTCTGTTCCTCTAGCTCTGCGATGCACTCGTCGCATTGCTGCAGCCACCCCAAATAATCACCCAATGTGGCGATCCTGTCAGCTCGCTCCGCCAGATCTTGGTCTCGTTGTTCCATGTCGCGCTAGCGTCTTTTCACGTTCGTATTATTCGGAACACTTGCATGTGACTCTATTACACTTTAGGCAGCATTGCATTATATTTGTAATAAAATACAATGTATCCGCATTGTTGTAATATTGCTTAAGTTACCTTGCGCCATCTGAGATTCCCTAGACATAAGTTTGATTGAGTTTATGTAGTTTTCTGGCTTGTTTATTTTTCTTTTTCATGTCTAGGTTTGACACACTGTGTGTGCTCACTCTCTCTTTGCCAGTTGCTTTTCCGTTTCCGTTTCACTGTGCTGTTGTTTGGATTTCCATGCGCTTACACGCTGTAACACTCACGTTTTCTTTTATACATTCTGAATGTTACAATTCTGTGGTTAATACCGTTCCTGTACTACCTGAGTTGCTCATTAAAACACATATATATTGCTGTAAGTAAATATGCGAGTTTATTTGGTTGCTGCCCGGATAAAATAACAACAGGTTATGGGCCCAGAGCACGCTTCCACTGCGCAACGTTAGTTGAACCGAGGTAACCTAGAAACGAAGGAGGACAACGGTCTCTCAACTAGACGAGACGAGACTCCCGAACGGTTATTTCTTGCATTGTCAACGACTGCGAGAAATTCAAGTAAAATGGCTAGCATCGGCAACGAGCTTGCCACCGTGCGAAAATTGTCCGGGCAGGAGAATTTTCCAGTATGGAAATTTCAGCTAATGCTGGTAATGCAGGAGAAAGGTTACGAAAACGTGTTGAATGGAACCGAACTGAAACCGAGTACCGAAGGAGACCCACTAT